GGTGATTAGGTATAATGAAAGAGACAATAATGGTAACAATGGCCCAAAAAAATAAAATATATTCTGTAAATGTAAATGGCTTGAACAATCCCAATAAAAGAACTAAAATTTGGCACCAACTTAAGAAAGGACAGTTTGATATCATGTCGCTACAGGAAACACATATTTGTCATAGACATGTGTCCCATTTAACCCAAAAAAAGCTGGGGAAAACATACTACTCTGCGGGAGGTGAAAAAAAGAAAGGGGTAGTAACATACATAAATGAGAGAATACCTTCAAAACAGGTCTTTAAAGATCAGGAGGGAAGAATCTTAGGCACTATCATTGAATTTGATGATAGGAAAGTATTACTGTGCAACATCTATGCTCCTAATGGAACAAAAACAAAATTCGTAGAACTGCTAAATAAGAAAATATTAGAACAGGAGTACGATGATTTAATTATATTGGGTGACTTCAACGGGGTCTTAGACAACAAAATAGATAAGACAAAAAACCCCAATACAAAGAACCAACATACCGGGGAACTTCCCAAGGAGTTTAAAACGCTAAAAGAGAAATTAGGGTTGCACGATATATGGAGATTTTATAATGAAAATGTACGGGATTACACCTTCTTCTCTGACCGGCACAACTCATGGTCTCGCATCGACATGATATGGGGATCAGAATCAATAATAGCAAGAACATCAAAAATCAAAATTCAAACAAGGGTTAATTCAGACCATGCCCCACTAGAATTAACATTGGTAAAATTGGACAATAGACAAGGAATATATAGATGGAAATTAGACAACCTTCTGATAAGAGATCCTAAAGATCAAGAAACCAATAGGAAAATATTAGAAGAGTTCTTCCAGATCAATACAGAACAAGATACGAAACTCGAGACCATTTGGGACACCTCCAAGGCCTACATTAGGGGGCACTTTATACAACAGAAAGCAAAAAGGAATAAAATCAGGAAAGAAAAACAACGAGAGATAGAAGGAGAAATAGAAAGAATAGAGGGGGAAATGAAGAAAAGACCAGATAATAAGAAACTGAAGTTACAACTAGAGATATTAAGGAAAAAAGCAGACTCATTGCAACTAGAAGAAATAAGTAAAAAAATAAAATACATAAGACAAAACCAATTTGAAAACTCTAACAAAGTAGGGAAATACTTGTCTTGGAAAATAAGAAGGAAGAAGTCCAAACAGCAAATACTCAAAATAGAGGAGGGAGAGAAGTGCTACACAAAACAAATAGAAATAGAAGATCAATTTCGCAAGTTTTATAAAAAACTATATACCGATGACAATATTCCCAAAGAAAGAGTAACTCAATATCTAGGGAAACAGAGAATAAAAAAACTAACTGATGAAGAAAGGGACATATTAAATAGGAGAGTAACAGAAGAGGAAATAAAGACAATAATAGCCGGTCTGCCAATGAATAAATCCCCAGGTCCGGACGGACTCACAAATAAATATTACAAGACGTTTAGTGACATATTAACGCCACACTTAGCTAAAGTAATAAACAGAGCAATGGAGGTGAGAAAAATACCGGACACATGGAAAACAGCACTAATAACGCTAATTCCTAAAGAAGGGCAAGATAATACAAAAACCAAAAATTTCCGCCCAATATCTTTACTCAATGGGGACTATAAGATATTTGTGAGCGTGATAGCTACAAGACTAAAAAAGGTGCTGAGCATAAGAATACACGAAGATCAGAGCGGCTTTTTACCAGGGCGACAAATAAATAACAACGTGAGGTTAATACTCAACACATTAGAATATTACAACAGACATAATCAAAAAGAAGCAGGACTCCTTTTTCTGGATGCAGAAAAAGCATTCGATAGGGTCAATTGGGGATTCATAACGGAATTACTTAAAGAAATGGACGCGGGTTTCCAGCTTATAAATGCGATTAAGGCAATCTATTCGCAACAGACAGCATGTATTATCGTAAATGGGCAGACATCAAAACCAATAAATATTAGCAGGGGAACCAGACAGGGCTGCCCCCTATCCCCATTAATATACATCTTGACCCTAGAAGTTATGCTTGACAGTATTAGAAATAACAAAGAAATTAAAGGTCTAAAAGTAAAATCACACAATTATAAGGTGGCAGCATTCGCCGATGATGTGATGTGCATCATGGAGGACCCCTTGTGCCAATGGGAGAAATGGTGGGCGGAATTCACCGACTTCGGCGAAGTAGCGGGATTAAAGATAAACAAAGACAAAACCAAATTCCTAATTAAAAATATGTCAAGGGAGAGGAAAGAGGAACTAAGAAAAAGGTCGGGGGTGGAAATAGCATCGAAAGTTAAATATCTGGGGATACAAATAACGACCAGCAATGCCCAGCTCATAAAAAACAATTATGACATCAAATGGAAAGCTATAAAAGAGAAAATGAGATATTGGTCTAGACTGGACCTATCCCTCCTTGGCAGAATCGCAGTGGCAAAAATGAATATCCTGGCGGAAATGCTTTATCTCTTCCGAATGATCCCAGTGATTAAATCGACAAAAATAATAACAAACTGGCAGAAGGACCTGAACAGATTCATTTGGCAAAATAAAAGGGCCAGAATTAAATTTAGAAACCTCTGCGACGATCCTGGAAGGGGCGGCCTGGGTCTACCTGACCTTTTGCTCTACTATGAAGCCGCGTCACTATCATATATGCGGGAGTGGGCAACATTAAAAAACGAGAGGCTACTCGCACTTGAAGGGGAAGATCTGGCCAAAGGATGGCATGCTTATCTGTGGAAAGGAAAAATAACAAGAGAAAAGAATTTTAACAACCACCCGCTCAGATCATCGCTGTTAAAAACATGGAAGAAGTACAAGGAGAGACTATACATGAAAACTCCGATGTGGATAGCTCCTAACGAGGCTGAACAGCGCAGAGAATCATCGAATGAAAAATGGCTGACTTATAGGCAACTATTAAAAACGGATAACCAAGAGATAAAGCTAAAATCACTCGAAGAAATAAGACAATTACACCCCAAATTCTCATGGCTACAATACTGGCAGGTCAATGAAAACTTTAAAGAAGACAAAAGAATAGGGTTCGAGACAAAAGAAAAAATGTGGGATAAGATATTGAAAACGGAGAAAAAGACGATCAAAAGATTGTACCAGCAACTACTAGTATGGGCGACCGAAGAAGAACAGGTCAAGGAGGTTATGATTAAGTGGGCCAGGATGATTGGGCGAACAATTACTATCTCGGAGTGGGAGGAAATGTGGAATAAAAAACTTAAATACGCATACGCCACCGAAATTAAAGAGAATTGGATTAAAATGTTTTACCTTTGGTACCTGACGCCTGAGAAAATAGCAAAATACAGCAAAGGAAAGTCAGACAAGAACTGCTGGAGGTGTAAGAAGAAAAAAGGCACATTTAAACATATGTGGTTTGAATGCAAGAAGATAAAGAAATTCTGGAAACTGATATACCAAAAAATTAAGGACATACTAGGAATTGAAATAGCACTCAGCCCAGAACTATTATTATTAGGAATGTGCAATTCAGATATTAATAGAAACGACGAAAAAATTCTCTTCTTCCTCACCACCGCGACTAGAATCTGTATAGCCAAAACATGGAAAAGCAAGGAAACAGCAACATACAATTCATGGATCATCAAGGCCACAGATATTATGAACATGGACCATCTAACGCAATTGCTAAGGGAGAATGAAACAACAAATACTAAGACAGACTGGAGCAAATTTTTATCTTTCCTAAAGAAGGAGAACATAAAGTACTAGTAGGTCATTAAATAAATATGCCCACGAGGGCTATTGGAACCAAGATAACGAAAAACCTCTATGAGTAGCAAGTACAATAAAATAAGACTTATTTATAGATAATTGGAAACTGTGTATGCGGATAACCCTGGAAGTCAATCTGAATGTGTGTTAACTGTTAGTATGTGTAAGTATCTATGTTGGTATGCATGAGGGAGGGGGGGAGGGAGGGTAGTTGAGTGAGGGCAGTTCTATTATATTGCAAAGCATTTATATGAGAAACACGGTAGGAAATCTGCCTGCAAGTGTGATTTGTACCTTTTGTATGTGTAGTTGTTCTATGTTTTTTATATTGGAAAATCAATAAAGACTATTTTAAAAAAAAAAAAAAGCATCTATCTTCCTTCGCTCAGCCTTCCCTATGGTCCAGCTCTCACATCTGTAGGTGACTATGGGTAACACCATTGCTTAAACTATCCGGATCTTCGTTGTGGATCTCAAGTTTCAATTGAGATGTCACACCAAACTTCCTTTATCAGGAATTCGAGCTATATGGCCATATTCTAGAGGCATTTTCTCCTGACATTTTGCCTGCATCTATGGCAAGCATCCTCAGAGGTAGTGAGGTCTACTGGAAGTAGGAAAATTGGTTTATATATCTGTGGAATGACCAGGGTGGGGCAAAGGACTCTTGTATGCTGGAGCTGGAAAAACCTACAACAACCCAGTGATTCCAACCATTAAAGCCTTCGACAATGCACTTCTAGTCTTTGTTCCCTCAGTGGTCAATAAACGTCCCACAAAGAAGGTGTGAAAACCAATGCTACTTCTGCTATTGCTCCCCAGCAGCTGGTATTTGGAGACTCCATATAGACATCATTTCTAATAGTGATTGAAAAGTATGACTGCATGGAGTGCCGTTACCTTCCTGCTGGAGGGGTGTATGGCAGTGTAGACGCATATAATCCAGTTCAAACTGCACTATTTGGCAGTGTAGATGGGGCCTTAGACTGAATCCAATTTGCCATTTTGTTGCTCAATAATACAGTTTGCCATGATGGACGTGAAGCTCTAAAAAGTGTACCCAAAATTTGACTGTACCATGGTGTGTTGTGATATCAAAGTACTCCAGAATTTATTTATTATTTACAATATTTATATACCACCTTTCTCAACCCTGGTGGGAATCTCTCTGTCTCATCCCACCACTCCCTCTTCCCATAGCCTTACCTGTGATTTTGTCTCGGACCAATTTGCAGGATTCAATTTCTCCAATGCTTCCAAACAGGCTCTTGAATTCCTCCTGTGTCATGTTCTGGGGCAGGTAGTTGACTATGAGGTTAGTTTTGGAGTCATCAGTGGCACCGTTGGCACTGATCAGTGGCCCATTGGGGAGGGAACTGTTGCTTGTGGGGCCATTGGACACTTGGGTCTCCATTGTGCTGATTATCTGCTGAAAACAAGAGAGAGTAGAGAAGGGGGTTACTATGACGAACTAAGGAGTAGCCAAGCCCAGGAGTCTGTCCCAAGTGCAAGCATTTATGTGTCCAAAATGAGAACTTCAAGGATGTTCAGTCAGACTAACATGAGGACCCCTGACTTGACTTGACCAGAAGAGATGGAGATAATGGCAGGATCAATGGCCTGATCAATAGTTTTACAGAGATATGATAACAGCAGCCCCACTGGAAGGCATCAGGAAAGGTCTTGGTATGAATCTCCTTAACTAATCTGCCTTCACATAGAGCCTTGCATATGAGAGAAGCTGTTACCTACTGATTATTCGGATTCACCTTATATACTCAAATATAAGCCTAGTTTTTCAGCCCTTCTTTTAGCCTGAAAAAGCTCCCTCGGCTTATGCTCGAGTCAAAATCATGTATTATTTTACTCTGTTATTATTATTATTGCATTTCTTATTTTACTCTATTATTACTTTTATTACATGTATTATTTTATTATTACCGTATATACTCGAGTATAAGCCAACCCGAATATAAGCCAAGGCACCTAATTTTATCACAAAATCTGGGAAAACATATTGACTCGAGTATAAGCCGAGGGTGGGAAATGCATCCACTATGGGTCAATTTCAAAATAAAAATAGATACCAATAAAATTACATTAATTGAGGCATCAATAGGCTAAATGTTTCTGAATATTTACATAAAACTGTAATTTAAGATAAGACTGTCCAACTCTTATTAAACCATTATTCTAACCTCCTTCAATGTAAATGTACTTATTACTAAAATAATAAATATAATAAAAATAATAGAGTAAAATAATGAAAATGCAATAAAAACAGTAATAATAGAGTAAAATAATAAATGTAGTAATAATAGGGTAAAATACTGTAAATGTAATAATAATAATATAATAATACTAAATAGATTAAAATAATAAATGTAATAATAATAATAGGGTAAAATACTCTAAATGTAATAATAATAATAGAGCAAAATAATAAATAGAATAATAGAGCAAAATAACGTAAATATAATAATAATAGAGTAAAATAATAAATGTAATAAAATAATACTAATAGGAGTAAAAGAATAGAATCATAGAATCATAGAGTTGGAAGAGACCTCATGGGCCATCCAGTCCAACCCCCTGCCAAGAAGCAGGAATATTGCATTCAAATCACCCCTGACAGATGGCCATCCAGCCCCTGTTTAAAAGCTCCCAAAGAAGGAGCCTCCATCACCTTGACTCGAGTATAAGCCGAGGGGAGCTTTTTCAGCCTAAAAAAGGGGCTGAAAAACTAGGCTTATACTCGAGTATATACTGTACTTTTATTACATGTATTATTTTACTCTTATTTTATTACATGTATTATTTTACTCTATTTTTGGTGGGGGGGGGTTGCCTTTTGAGCTGTTTCACACTGAAGATCAAGTGTTTATGCCTTGTAGACTGTTTTGAGTTTGTTTGAGCAATAAACTTTATTATCTGAATTGGCTGGCGTCTGACCTTGACAATTATTGTATTTATTATTTTACTCTATTATTATTACACTTATTATTTTACTCTATTGCTTTTGGAAGGATACGTAAACACATTTACATTGAAGAAGGTTAGAATAATAGTTTAATCAGAGCTGGACAGTCTTATCTTAAATTACAGTTGTATATAAATATTCAAAAACATTTTACCTGCTGATGCCTCAATTCATGTAACTTTATTGGTATCTATTTTTATTTTGAAAATTACCAGTAGCTGCTGCATTTCCCACCCTCGGCTTATATTCAAGTCAATACGTTTTCCCAGTTTTTTGTAGTAAAATTAGGTGCCTCGGCTTATATTCGGGTCGGCTTATATTCGGGTCGGCTTATACTCGAGTATATAAGGTAAGTATTTTATAACACTATGTTCAAGATCCCACCATTGTTAACTTATTTCCAGTCCAGCCATGTTTTTTATTTCTTTTTGGGGGTTGAGGATGGTCAAAACCCAAACAAGCTTGAAAAGAAAGTGGGATCCACCACAGAAAATGAGCTGGATTAGAATTTCCTCTAAGGAACCAATGTAAAGTGGTATCAGGTTCGGTTACCGCAAGTTCGGCTCAGGCCCAGACCTAGTTCTTGTTGCCTGAGTGATGGTTGCATGATATTCTTGAAGGGCAAAGTGAGACTGGTCCATCCAGGGGCGGCTCAACCATTACGCAAAGTAAGCATTTGCAGTAGAGTTGATTTTGCCCAGGGGCGCTCTTGGGGGAAAATAGACCTTGACATATGCGAGTTGTAGTTACTGGGATGTATAGTTCACTTACAATCAAAGAGCATTCTGAACTCCACCAATGATGGAATTGAACCAAATATGGCACACAGAACTTCCACGACAAACAGAAAATATATATCAGTGATTGGTTGGGGGGGGGGGGAGCCAAAATACTGTTTGCTTACCGTTGAAATTTACCTAGGGCCGCCTCTGGGTCCATCTGTTATGAATTTTAAGGTTTAGTGCACTAGTGACAAGTTATCTCATATTTGTTGAGAATCCCCACATTTAATCTTTTGGGGATCCCCCCTCCTTCAGTATTGCGTTTTCTGTTCTCACTTAAATTTAGAAGTAAAATCTCACTGAGTGGGGGGAGGGAGGGCTGGGGAAGGGGAATTAGAGAGAGTTGGGGAGATATACAAAGGAGGGAGAAGCCACCAGATGGGAAGGGGGAAACCCATACATGAACAATGGTCCCTCCCCCCCCCCTCCCGCCTCCCCAAAAAAGTTAAACCCAATAGGATCCCCCCTCCCCTGCCTCAAACCTCACTCTCTGGCTCAGCCAAGGGAGTGGATCTCCCCATACTTCCAGACAAAGGAGGAGGAGGAGAAAGGGGAAGAGGAAGGGGAAGGAGACAGAGAAGGAGAGGAGGAGGAGAAGGAGAAGGAGAGAAAGATAAGGAGGAGGAGGAGGGGAAAGGTGCAGACCACCAGACTGAGGGGGAAATGTCCCCTGCCATATGCACTGTTGTCCACATTTGATATACAGTTGTTAGACTCTGAGCCTATCAGTGTCACAAACAACACATCCTAGAGTAGCAATAGCAGTACGCCCTGATCTATCAGCACTTGCCAAAGAATAAACAACAATTCTATCTCTTATCAATACTTCATAGGTACTATCTGTTGTCGGGGGTTGCTCTGCGGAGATTATCTTAATAATAATAATAATAATTATTATTATTATTATTTTTATTATTATTTATACCCCGCCACCATCTCCCCAAGCCCAATAATTGCATCAAAACAATTATACAACATAAAACAATACATCAATAAAATTTAATACAGATAAAAAATAAAATAAAAAGCGATATAAGATAAGCACGCAACCTATATAAATAAAAATGTCATGTTTGTTTGTGGGATTGACATAACTCAAAAACCACTGGACGAATTGACACCAAATTTGGACACAAGACACCTAACAACCCAATGTATGTCCTTCACTAAAAAAAAATTGATTTTGTCAATTGGGAGTTGTAGTTGCTGGGATTTATAGTTCACCTACAATCAAAGCAATCAGACGCAGAGCCTTTACAGCAGTGGCACCATCACTCTGGAATACTCTGCCACCTGAAGCCCGTGCCTTGCGGGACTTATCAGCTTTCCGCAGGGCATGTAAGACATATCTGTTTCGACAGGCCTTTGATTTTTGATATTGCTGTTTTTAAATTGTTTTAAATTGTTTTTAAATTGTGTTAGATTTTAGTCATTCTTGTAAGCTGCTCCGAGCCCCAGGGGAGTGGCGGCATATAAGTTCGAATAATAAATAAATAAATAAATAAATAAAGAAAGAAAGAAGGAGAGTTCTGAACCCCACCAACGATGGAATTGAACCAAACTTGGCACACAGTTCTCCCATGAACAACAGAAAATACTGGAAGGGTTTGGTGGGCAGTGTCCTTTGGTTTTGGAGTTGTAGTTCACCTACATCCAGAGATCAGTGGACTCAAACAATGATGGATCTGGACCAAACTCTACAAGAATACTCAATATGCCCAAATGTGAACACTGGTGGAGTTTGGGGAAAATAGAATCTTGACATTTGGGAGTTGTAGTTGCTGGGATTTATAGTTCACCTACAATCACAGAGCATTCTGAACCCCACCAACGATAGAATTGGGCCAAACCTCCCACACAGAACCCCCATGTGGGCCACAGCAACGTGTGGCAGGGGACAGCTAGTACAAAATAAAATCACAATAGTCAATCATGATGGGCAGGGCCGGTTGCAAAGATTAAAATGTTTAAAAACTCTAGGTGAGATAAGTAGTGTATGCATCTAGAAGGAGGTTTAGGCAGGATGAAACAATGGGGTTTAATTGCACTAGAGAGTGAGATAAAGTGCGTCCGAGGGCATTTTATGCCGGGTTTGGTCAAGGTCAGAGATTATTGTTCATTCATTGAAGGCACACCATCCATGTGATTAAAATGTCACATGTCTAAGCACAAAATCGGTCTGCAAAATAAGTATTCTGGAACAAATATTAATGCCCATTCTTATTTTTAGGTTTCGCCATGGACCAAACAACGATTTTTCTTTTCTGATACTTTTTTTCGTGTCGAGAGCAACTTGAGAAACTGCAAGTTGCTTCTGGTGTGAGAGAATTGACCGTCTGCGAGGATGTTGCCCAGGGGATGCCTGGATGTTTTGATGTTTTACCATCCTTGTGGGAGGCTTCTCTCATGCACCCGCATGGGGAGCTGGAGCTGACTGAGGGAGCTCATCCATGCTCTCCCTGGATTCAAACCTCCAACTTGTTGGTCTTCAGTCCTGCCAGCACATTACGCCATCAGGGACTCCATTTTCTGATACATGAAAGTGACTGTGCAGAAGTCATTGATACTATGTATGTGTTTAACTGTTAGAGTATATATTTGTGTTTGTAACAGTAGCTAAAACTAGAGTTATCTGGTTTGAATCCACAGTGAGCGTTGCCAAGGAGA